AAACCAAGAAAAAGTGGTTTCACGTCATTTCTCTAGGTAGACAGGAAAGAAGCTGAAGGCCTGAATTGCATGGTGGTAAGAGAAACCACACAGTCTTACTCTCTGCATGTTAGAAACACATCCTGGCATAGAGAATTAATGGTGAATGCTACAGAAACCTTGTCAGAGAAGTACTTCTGAAAAGGCTGGAAATAATGTTAGCATGTGCAAGGCTAGTGAGAGGTTATTTTACAGTAGGTAAGATAAAAAGCTCATTACTTGCTAACTGGCTAATAAAGGAAAAGTCAGGAATGTCAGTTACAAAGACATTCATTCCCATATCAGAAAAGAAAGCACAGAGCACTTATTTCAGGCAGAAGGGCACTGTGACAGAATACAGGTTGTGCTGACAGAAGAAACAGTTCTTCCAGATATTTATACGTAGGCTAAAAGCTAGGTGGGCGACCTGCATTATCAGCTTATTTATAAGACTGCCTGCAATATCAGTTCACAGTAAAAAGCGGAAATAATTTTGTACTCGGATTCAGGAAAGAAAAGCAGAGGTACTCTGTTGACCACTAGTGGACAAATAAGGATGAAGCGGCCTCCAACCACTTCCTAAGTACACTCTCTTCACACTAAAAACATCCAATTCATCAGCTTTTCAGGCTCAAAATTAAAGAGCTCCCTAATAGCATTTAAAAATGAAAACGTTGCATATGCATGTAACCAATAGGAAAGTATTTTTAGCCCATTAAAAGATGAAGAAGTTCCCTGTAGGTCTGAGAGTGAGAACTATCTGTCCAAGAAGTAATCACTCAAACGTCTGCAAGGTATTACAATGGAAGACAGAAATTTAAACTATTACTAGAAAAAAAGGCATTATGCTAATTCTTCAATGCTGTCATTCAGAAAATGGCCAAAATATTGCAACTACAATATCGTAAATCTTTTTTTCCCCAAGTCTCTTGGTACCATTTCTTGTACCTTATATACATTTACTGAAAATCTTTGACACCAACAGACATCACCTCTTTCTGTAAGGTTTGTTTCGGTTTTTTTTTGTTTTGTTTTGTTTTTTTTTTGTTTTTTTTTTTTAAGTACGATGATGGTGGAAAAGTGGGGAATACAAATTTCAAATCTCTGAGCCTCTTTCCAAATATGGATAGCACAATAAAATGTAAAGAATTCCACCTGCCAAAAGTTCCTTCTCATTTAAAATGTGTCAACTTTAGCTCTGCTGTATCCAGTAATTGCTTTCTGGCCAATGGACAAAGAACTTTATAGGTCAAAAGAGAAAAAAAAAATCCTATCTGAGAAACAAAAGATGCTATTCAGATCCTGTGGATTCATTCTAAGGAACTACATTAAGCAAACACAGCCGCCAAGCTGGTAATAACTGAAAATAATTTTCACTGAGAATTGTATTGCTTACAGTGAATCCTCAGGCGACAAGAGCACACGCTGAGGCCGAAAGTTTCATCTACTCAAAGAAAGCAAAAAACCCTCACATGAAGCAACAGAGTCTCAGCACTCAAAACGAAGCACTCACAGTGTATCTGGGATCTCAAATTCATTCAGAGGATTTTATACATGTCCCTAGCATATCAGAATTACTCATATAACTAATTGCAGGCAAGCCATAATTTTGGTGGAAAAATTTGTTACTTGGAGAGAAAAGCACTTTCTTCCATTGTAAATTATTTGTAAAGGCTTTCTCAGATGCTTGGAAAATCAGGACTAGGGGGAAAGGTAACATATACATAATTTACATAAAACTCAGACTCAAAACTACACACTTATCTACAGACTGTCAATAAGAAAAAGTTAATTGATCTAAGTGGGTCAGTTCATAAGGAAATGCTGCCTACCGATGCCTATTTTACTGCACTGCACACAGCTTACGTCGTCAATCCAGATTAAAAAGAGAACATCAGTGCAACAGAACAGACTCTACACTTCACATTCTATCCATGATTTGGGGGCCCAAAAACTTCAGTTCTATAAGCCTACATTATCTACAGAAAGCTGTTTCTTACCCTGGTAAATAGGCAGAGCCATTCAACAAAACTACATCTTAATAAGTACTGTAAGCCAGTCTCTCAAAGGAGACAAACCCTGAACTGAATATAACTCCTTCATTGTTCTAATTGTCATAGCAATAGAAGATTAAACGTGCATGATATTATTTTCTAGTTGCTAAAAGATTTTGCTGTTTCCACACAGTGTATACTATTAGTTGTTACTGGTATTCTCCACTCGAGGAAAATCTGCCATTTGCAATACGTAAGAACACAGATACAGCCAGCAGGGACAAAGAAGAAAATATCATGGTATAAGGAGACATTCTCATACTTGGAAGAAATCCAAATGGAAGCCTGACTGAAAAAGCTGGCACACGTCTTAATAGAGATCTGTGCCTCCTCTACTGGATTCCCCATCTTCAGAAAAATATTTGGCCTGAGCTGCAGAAAACAAAACAAATAAATGACTATGCTGGGATATTGACAAAACCCAGCACTGGCTATGGAAGCAAGAATTTAAGCTTAACAACTAACCAATAAATAAAAACAGATTATGTATGATCTGTCATGTTTCTCAACGTTATGTGAACACTTCAGTATTACTGCTTACATACTATCATGACATGATGCTGTATATTTTGTGTCTCTCTTCTGCAACAGACACAGTGCATCATCTCATTTCCAGGCACTCCTTCTGAACAATGAGAAACATACCAATGACTTCTAGTAGAACAACATTTTCAATAATGTAATGAAATATACTCTGTGTTGGATCAATGATGATACATCCAGTTGGAAAATTCATTCTGACATTTTCAAGCTAACAGCTGGTTTCTTGCACGAGCATTGTACTCTTACTCAGTACACTAAGCTGAACTCTATACAGCTGAGATAAGTTCAAAGACAGCATTCCTACTACTGCAAGGAAAATTTATATCCTGTTCAAAAGAAAAGAAAATAATTTACTGTTAATTTCCTTTGTTATAGAAAAAAAAAAAAAAGTAAAGAAAATTCTATTTACAAGACATATAAATTGTTTTATGACTACATTACTACAATAATTGTGAATTTGTAAATATTAGTTTGCAAAACAGTTAAAAAGTCCTACGTTAAAACTAAAAGATTTGATTTAATAAATTTTTGATCCTGCACATTCCTTGTATCAGCAACTCGGGAAGCAGTGCTTATGTTACACACACACAACATCAATGTTCAGCTGCAGTCATACGGAAAGAAACTTGCAAGCAAACTTTGTCTATGTCTGAAACATTACCTCATCTTGAAAGATTAAATCAATCCCATCCCTTCTGCCCTAACACTGTATATTTTCATGTTGCATTTTTAACATGGTAACAATCTACTGCAAGAGGGTAGGACTGCTTTACCTGCAACTGTACCCACAGAGCCTGTGTGCCTGTGCTCCATGAGAGACCAATTTACGTGAGCTCTATTTCCCCTTCTCCATGCAGCTTTATTTGCCTGAACTGGCATTTTAGAAGAAAAACAGAAAAACAAACAGAGTTTACATCAATTTATGTCAACAGAAAGGCAAATTCCAAAGGTCTTCACTCTATGTCACTGAAGTTAAAGAAGTTTTGAAGATAATTTCATGGAAAGCAAGACTACATCCCTCACCATTATGTGAAAAAAGCCCTTCTGCCAATTTAAGGGGTCACTCTTTGCACATTAGGACTGCAGAACTTGCCCACTGCTTAATGCTAGCAATAAGAGGGTCTGTAGGAGATCATTTAAAAAAAAAAAAAAACAAAAAATGTTCAGAAATGTTAATAAGACATCTGAAAGACTGTGTTATCACTGCCCAAGTTGCACCAAAGCTCTGCTAAAAGTGTGCTGTGAAAGCCTGTCCTGTATTTTACTAAAGGGCTGAGAGACAGTAACTGAGTGCTCAGTAAGTGATGCCCCCAAAAGCCTCTGTGAAAGAAACCAGTGAACACTGATCCAGTTCACAAGCAATTTCACACAAGGTTAGTCAAAACCAAAAAAAAAAGACTCTAGAACAATAAATTTAACTTGTAAAGACCCAGTGAATTGCAAACCAACTCATTTCTCATCACAGACAGTATTCTACAGGAACATTCTGCATCTTGAGGACTAACGAAGAGTTATTAACACCAAAAGCTTTTAATAGCTCCAACAGGATTTGACATCATAACTACAGATGCTGGTTCCCTACACTGATGAGGGAACGCAGTTTTACACCCAGTATACCCAATCTACAGCAAAAAACACAGTGTAGCACCTAGAAGATGAGCTACAGCTTGTATGAGCTGCAGGAGACTATGAAAGCAAAGCATTTCATTTTAAAAGAGCAGCCTTATGTCTGAACAAAATAACTGCAGAAGACACGGTCTAGCAAAACTGCCGCTTGACTTAAGCAGGTCTTTGGCTGGTGTTACAAATCGCTGCAGCACAAGGAGCTGCTGGGCAAAACTTGCGAGAAGTGGACGCTTCCCCCAGGGGAGCTCGAGAGACACGAGCGCAGCCTCAGCGCCTGCGGAGCCCGGCGGGCACCGGGACCAGCGTGCGGGGCGAGGCACCGGAGCCACCCAGCCCACCCAGCAGGGCCACCCGGCGCCTCGCCTAGGTCAGCTCGCAGCCCGCGCCTCGCTGGAAAAATAAATAAATAAATAAAAAATAAAGACACAGAAAGTCCGGGAGCGAGGAGGTCGCCGCCGGAGCGCCGCCGACCCTCGGCCGGGACGGAGCGCTCGGGACGCGGCCCCGCGCCGCCCGCCGGGATGCCCGGCGCCGAGCACCGCCGAAGCGCCCCGCACGGCGCCGCTCCCGCGGCAGCGGTTCCCGCTCCGGCTCCATCCCGGGGGGGACGCGGACCGCCCGGCCCGCCCCTGCCCCCGCGGCGGCGGCGCCGCGAGCCCCGCCGCCATTCGCCCCGCCGCGAGCCGCGAGGGGCAGAGGGCGGGCAGCGGCCCACCTGTTCGCGGCGGCGGAGCGGGGGGAAGGCAGGGGCGGCCCTACCTGGGATGGCCAGGTTGGTGAGCGGGGTGCTGCGGATGCTGTCGGGCAGAGCCGCCATCCAGTCGGCGAACCGCGGCTCGTTCTTGCCTTGCGACGAAGCCATGCCGCCGTACCCCGACCGCTCTCCCACTGCCGCCGCAACCGCTCGCTCCAGCCCGCCTGGCCCCGGCCCGGCCCCGCCCGCCCGGCGCCGCCCCGTGCCTCGCCGCCTCGCCCCCGCCCGCTGCCCCTCCCCGGCCGGGCCCTGGCCGCCCGCGGAGCGCGGTTCCGATGCGGGGCTCTGCTCGCTCGGCGCGGCCGGGCTGTCCCCGCGGAGGGCAGGGGTTGTTGACGGGAGCCTCAGCCCGTCCCAGGTAACTCAGGGGACGAGGAGCCGTCGCAGGCCGGGCGCTCCTTTCCTGGCACGGAATTCGCCTGTGCCGCCGGCTGGGCCGTGTCACCCATCTCCCCTCAGCGCCAATCCGGGATCTCGGCCCAAAGGTCCCGTCCTGCTGCCGGGATGGCGGTGGGGAACATCAGCAGCCTCCTCGTTCCCTGTGCAGCCCTTGGGCACCAAATATGCTCTCTGGCCCTGGCTACAGTCGTAGAATCATAGAGTATCTCAAGTTGGAAGGGACTCATGAGGATCAGCTAGCCCGACTCCAGGTTCCATACAGAATCACCGGAAGTCAGACTGTGCGACGGAGAGCCTTGTCCAAACACTGCTGCTACTCTGGCAGCTTGTAACCAGCGCCCTGGGCACCCTGTTCAGTGCCCAGCCGCTCCATCAGTGATAGAACTGCAGAATAAGACCAGATATCCTGTGTGCTGGGACTGTGGCCTTGGGAGGATCTCCCAGCTGATGGCTGCTCCAAGTTTCTCTGTTCCTATATGAAATCTCTGCAATCGGTTGTTCACACCAAAAAAAGTGATTCCTTCCTGGAATACTCTTTGGAGATTTGTTTTCTTTTGGCTTTGCTCTTTGCAGATGATATAAATTAGTATCATCCATTCTCATTCCCAACCTGTCTTTATTTTGAGAGGCAGCTTCTTCAATGTTGGCATTAGCAAAGCGTTTATATTTCTGTCTCAGAATCAATGAATTAATGAAGCCAATAAAGCTCTGTAAGCCATCTGGAGCTGTTACAACAGTCTTGATCTGTTGACCTCAGCATGAGCGGTCATGTTTTATTAAAGTGGGTGATATGTGTGTGGAATTCTGGAGATGTGCACTTGTCAGAAACAATGCCTGAAAAGAACCAGGGCAGATGATCACCTCACCTTGAAGTCCTAGCAGAGTCCTAGCAGAGCCAGCTGTGGTCCTGCAGTTTGTGTTGTTCCTCAATATCTTTGATAGCAGCTGTTTTGGGAAATAAAAATGCAGGGAGCAATTATTAATAACCATTATTTCTCTTTTGGTCCAAGCGTGAAGAAGAAACAAAAACAAACAGACAAAAAACACATACAATACAACCTCTTCCTTTAGCCCAAAATAAAGATTTCTTGAAAAATTTCTGACATTTCTTTTTTTAAAAAAGAGAAAATGCTGACTCACTCATTGCAATAGAAACAGTTCTTAAGGTGCGTTTTATATGGATAAATGCAAACAGATGGTTGGCCTTGGGAGGGATGTTGGATGTGAATTGATGCCACATGAAAGAGGAGGAGAAGTACACAAGCGATCACGTAAATGTGCTTAATTTTTCAGTATTTATGTAAGCCTTTTAAGCTAATTTGCTCCTTTCAAAATCACTGGTATTAGTAAACATGGAAAAAAAGTCTGGATTTTGGATATGAAAACATAAAACACACTAATGACCTGGAAATGGAAGGTACTGCTTTGCTTCATTTTCAAAGGACAGTGTGAAATTATAGTACAAAAATTACAGATTTCTAAAGAGCATTCGAGTGAGGAGTAATGAGTATTTTTATTAACATGATTGGATCAAATCTGATGTAAGTGGCAAAGTTAGTAATGGATTGCACTAGTTACCTGGAAAACTACAGCTGATTTTTTATCCACGCCACTACGTGTTCTGTCTTTTCTGACATAAAATAGGTGTATATTGGTTTTTGAAAGGTTAAGCATGTTATTAATAAGTACTGTTGATCTCTGCCAGTCTCTAAAGCTTTCGGCCTAACTCAGAGCAAAATAAAAACGTACACATGAAAGCCCTGTCATTTTTCAATGTATTATTTTTTTATAATAACGGTAGAAATATTTAATAGCATTCCATTGTTCCTGCTGTACTGGAGAACTGTGAAAGTCTCTCTTTGCACTAGAGAGAAACTCACAGGCTTTTGTTTCTACAGATAGCTGGAGCTTTTTTATCTGCTTTTTCTTTCAGATTGGATGCTGGATGATCTATTAACGTTTTTATACTTGTATACTTTATAATCAAATTAGAAACTTAACAATAATGCACAGAGGACCCAAGAATTGTTTATGTCTTAATGCAAACTTTTTAAAAAGTCCAGAATGTGTACTTGTGTATACTGTTAAAACAGAATAAAATAATTAGCATAAATGGAAATGTATTTTGTTATAATTAACCAGATTCTGGAAGTTGGGAAGAAGAGTGTGAAAGATGAGTGATAATACACGCATCCAGCTCGCAGGCAGAAATCAATTTCATCATAGCTATCCCTCTCTGAGGATTATTTCTAAGACTTATAAAAGAGAGCATTTGTTCTGTTTTATACTCTTCTTTTTTCTCAGTTTGTCATGTGGAGTTATTTAGTGCTTAAGAAAGGCCATTTAAACAATAAAGTGGCTAAAAGCACACAGCACTGTACTTCTGATGTTATCCCACACCATATGTCTTACCTAGGATATTTATTTAAAAATGCATCAATGGTGGCTGCTTTTTCATCTGGTTAAAAATGAACAAGCTTGGTAGCAGCATTATTGTAAAGACTGTAACGGCATTACTGAGGGTGGTGATGGCAGCACTTGAAAAATTCTATTTTCCACACAGTGGTATAAGATCACACAAATAATATGCAACTTCTGTGCAGGGAAGGATGCAAGAAATGTTGCTGTTCATATATAAAAAACCTTGACAATGGTTCAAAACACCCTGCAGAAACTCATGAACATTTTGCCATGAACAACTCTCGATGTGTTTTTGAAGTATTCACAGGGCAAAACAAGCTGAATAACAGCATGTTAATTTCAGCACATTCTCAAGAATTAAAAAATTTTAACAAAAATAAGAGCTAATTGAGCTAATTTATCAGCGGGTTTATCACAAGCAAAGCAGAAGGAAGCACCAAAGCTAATCATCATTGATGTAGCCACCAAATATTGTGTTGAGGTGGTCAGAAAATACTTCATAGTACAAAAATATCTACCTTTGTACAAAAAAAAAAAAAAAAAAAAACTGAGATGAAAGCAGCAGACATGCTCCTCCTCCTCCAGTTTCTTTCTCCCCCCTCCTGATTTTTAAGCTTTCCAGCAGCAGCAAGGAAGAATAAAAAGTTTTCCAGGCAGTCAGATAGTTTTGTCAGAAAATCTACTCCTTTGAATGAACAGTCTAACTGAAGTCAGTACTGAAAATACAGTCAGTACTGAAAATCTACTCCTTTGAATGAACAATCTAACTAAAGTCAGTACTGAAAATGCACATGACTCCATAAGAATTCAGATTTTCTGGATGCTGGGATAGTACCTTTGGTGTTACAGCTAACATAAAGGAAAAAAAAAAAAAAAAAAAACAGGAAAATCTAAGTAAAGACTGTTAAAAGACAGAACCATGCGAAGAAAATTTCACTAATGATGTTTATAATACTAGTGTGGTAAGAAAAGATAAACCTATACAGAGAAAAATTGTTGAAGGTACCAGGAAAGAAATGGATGAGATTACCTGCAGGATTTTACAGCAGATCATTAAAGACAGAAGATGCAATAATTTTGTGTGTGTCAGTCATTTAGTACATAGCTCAGATCTACATGATAAGGTATTTAGCAACTAAGGGAAAAGAGGAAAATACTATTTCTAGATAGATGACCTAATAATAAAGCAAATTTTTATTTGTTAAAATATGGAGATTAGGTACTATAAAAAGTGATTCTTAAATTCTACAACTGCTTTACCATCAAGGTATTGTGGATGACATCTTGTAACTGATTTTGACTATGACTGAAGAGCACATATGCACTGTAATGTACTTCTCATTTGTTTGATGTGATTATTTTTTAAAGTGCAAACATTAGTCAAGTCATTCATTTTCTGTAGTAGCTGTTATTTAAAAGAAGATGTTATTTAAAAGAAATGGAAACAACTAAATGAGAAAATAGAGAAAGCAAATAAACCTACAGTGGGTTCTTACGCAAGTAATATCAAGCACTAATAAACAAAGAATTCTGATTTCTTTGGCTGGTGGAAAATAAACCAAAATGAAGTGAAGATAATGAAAATACTCCACTGGATTCAGTGGAATATGGATCCCCTGGATGGAGAACCAATGTGATTTGGTTAATGGCTGATGCTTCCACTGTGCTTACATCCAAAGCCACTGGGGAAGAAAAGTATTTTCTATTTTTAAATAGAAACCATGATGGATGACACAGACACTTCCCAACAGGAGCCAAAGAGCGTTAACAGTAGTCTCTTCCACTCCTGGCAACTGGCATTGTTTTTTATGAAAGATGCATTTCAACATCCTAGACAAGGCTTCCCAAACAGGCTCTTGCTGTTTGCGTGGTAATGAAACAGTGCCTAGCAGTGTTGGGAATAGTAAGCAGGACTAATGAGATTTTAGAATGAAATCGGTATGCTAGCCACATTTAACAGGCTGTAGACCATTCATGCTGTGAGGATGAGAGGTAATGTTCCTTTCTAATTACACACTCCCCATGATTGGTATGAACAATGTGGTCACTCCATCTTGACATTCGTAGATGGGGTAGGACAAAGATGCAAAGCACTGTTTCAGCCTTAATGAAATGAGCAATGCATCTGGCTTCTCTAGGGAAAGAGATAGGCATGGATGCTAGAGAAGAAAAAGACAACTACTAATTCTGGGAAGTCAATATTTCCACTGTATGCCTGACTCTGATGTGTGATGTTAAAGAACGGCTTAATAGGAGTATATTATACAACAACATAAAATTTTCCCCTTAAACTTCCTCCCTTATCTTCCAGCACAAGAGAATGAAGTGAG